CTCGTGCGAGCGTGCCATAAACCCGGTCACCGAAGACCCCCTGCGTTCCGTACCTGCGCGACGGAACAATATCAGATATGCCAGTTATACTAGGCATGAGCATTCATTCCGATATTTCACAATTTAAAAAATCCACAAATCAACGTTGAAATTTCTATTAAATTTCACTAAAATGTAAAATTTGATAATTTTGCAAAAAAATCTAACGTTTCGTTTTTTCAGCGGAAAGGTAATCGTAAATTTTTCCTGACATATTATGTTTATAAATATTATTAAAAGTTGATGGAAGGAAATGTTGAAATATCACTCGAGTGCAAAGGATTAATAAAAATGTTATAACATTGTGTTCCGTGTAGAAACTGTTATAAAAAATAATATTGCGTATTTGGTTGATTGATTGAAGTTAGAGAGATTGTTTACGACTTATGAGAAATTAGCTAAAATGGATGCAGCTTATTTTACATAATTTACTATTAAATTGTATAATTGAGCGACTGATGACGGATTTTCGTTATTGTGTTACGATGTGTGTTATCTATTTACCTTCATCTACACACTCCTGTACAGCTTTGCGTGCGCTCTCCTTCTTTTCGTCGTCATCTATCACTTTGTCAATTTGTTCACTGATTTTCTGCATATCAATGACGTTTCCGTTCATCTGAATTTAAAAGAAAATTCTTGCTATGCATTAGTGATCTCGAGTTTGTTGTCAGCGGTGTATTTTTCTACTATACTGAAAAATTAAACATCTCAGAAGAGAAATTCTTTTGAAAACGTTCATCTTTCACTTGGAAACCATTAACGAAACGAAGTGTGTGAAATGTATGAAGAAAGGTCTCCTTTCTATTTTTTTTTTTTTTAGATTGGAAAGTATAATCCGAGGGGATGAAATTTACGAAAAATAAGCTGAGAAATAATTCAAGAGTAATTCTATAATTAAAAATCATCTTTCAATTTTAATATAATATAAAACTGACGAAGATTGAGAATTTATTTGAAGTTTACTAAAGTGGTTACAAATGTTTGTTTTCCTCTTTTATTAAATTTCACTAATTCTATTTTGAAAATTTTCTATTCCTTTTACAAATCACAGTATGTAGCAATGTTCGGGCAGAATATAAAATTCTTCTCACTACTGAAGACTCGAAAAATATAACACCATAATTGACATAGATTACAAATTTATTTAAAGTTCGTTAAAGTGATTAGAAATAGTTCTTTTCTGTTTATTGACCCTTTCTTCACTATTGGCGCAAAATTTTCTCGCACTCCACTGTTAGAGCCTTTCGGTGCACTTCTACCTTAATTTAATACTTAATTTCATCCTTTACGCGCTTTCACCTTCATTTAATAAACCGGATTTCAGAACGATACGGCCAAAATAACAAATTTTCCAGTCGTGGTTTATAATTTACCGCCAGTCACCCACGTTACGCGTTAAAATCTGCCGTAGCGAAAGGGTTAAATTACACTAATTCTATTTCGAAAATTTTTTACTCCTTTTAAAAATCACAATATGTACCAATCTTTGTTGGTAAAATAGAAGATTTTTCTCACTACTCGACTCGATGAATTCTCTGTGTCTAATAAGTAGATTAAGTAGAATGAAACTGCACGTACCAGACCAAGACCCTGCATGATGCAGGCTTCTACGCAGCCACGCTTTCTTCGTCCTTCGTCGGTGTTGTCGCGAAACAGACTTGGTAGATCGCCTAACAGAACGATATTTACTCAACAAAAATCATACACACTACCAGGGCCGCATTTGTCATAAGGCGTCTTAGGCGCAAGCTGCGGCCTCACTCTCTACGGGGTCACATTTTAAAACCTTACTATCCACAAACAACAATATAAAAAGCAGCCTAGTTATAGTTGCAAAATAAAGTACTTCTTTTTAAATATTAAATTCACAATATAAAAACGAGAGGTCGCTGAAAACGGAAACGCGAAATTTACGAGGGTCCGTTATTCATCAAGAGGTCGATATCAATGGTAATTTCTACAGACCAAATGTTAAGTGTCGTCTAGAAGGATCTCAGAATATCCTATGCAGCTCGGACACTTCTACTATCAGAAGTGCAAAGACGATAAAACGTTTGGTCGCAAGAGTAAATTTGAACTGATTTATTTTTATACTTTTCTTTTAACCCCTTAACATATGACAACGTATCAGACTCGCGGCAGAGATTCTGGTGAAGATATGAGAAAAATAGTTATATTAGTAAGAAAAATTCATTGTAATCCTAACTTTCGTTTTAATTTGTAAGACTGAGGATTATTAGATGTAATTAATCTGTAACAAATTAGCTTTTGTTACCTGATACAATACTAAAACGGTAAATAGCTCACGCTTAGGTGCTTAGTCAGAAAAGTAATCATAGGCTAAGGGGTTAATGCAATTATACGGATTCCAATGTTGTGTTATTTTTATTTCACTGAAATAATTGATTTTTATTTTCAATAAACTTAAAAAAACATGTGTATGAATCTAATTAACTAATATAGACATGTTCCTTTTAGGCCTCGTAATGATGTTGCACCTAGGGCTTCCAAAAGTACTTAGAAATGCGGCCCTGTACCCTACCTTTCATAAGTTTAGTCGCAGAACGCAAAGAAACAATGTAATTTAATTCATTTCATTCAATGAAATAATGAAATTTCAATAGAGTTTATCAAATGCAAAGTTTTATATCGAACTTAACAGAGTGAAGTGTATCATTCTTGCCTAATTCACTTTGTTTTTTCTTCCTATAGTTACTTTCAGTTTTTGCTGCGTTTTAACGGATGCGATGAAACTTTTGAACGGTAGTGTACATTGTTTATATCTTGGCATTATTTTGTCAAACATTTGCGCTCTTTATGCAAGATCAAAAAGAAGAAAATATTTACATACTAACATTTTTCTGCTTGCATATCGTAAAAAGTGATATCAAATGTAAACTCATTTGTCATTCTTTTATCGAATCCCACTCACCAATAGTGAGACCCATTTTCTCCATACAAGAGGATAGCACATTGTCGTCAGCGTGAACTACCTGTTGAGAATGATCATTTAAAAAATGAATTTTCGCAGTATAATTTGAAGAAAGTAAAAACTCTAAAATCACTAAAATTCGTATTAAGGCATACATTGTCGTAGAAAATTTTTCAGTGAATTTTTTCCTACAAATTTTTCACGAATTTGCCAATTAATGTTGCGGGGATGAATAAAATATTCGTTAAAAGTTTCCGAAATCTTCCGAAAATTCCCGCAAAGCATAGTGATCTCAAGCTTCTTGATAGCACTGCACTTTCAAAAATTAAACATCTCAAACGAAAATCAATTATTAACAGAGAATTGTGATATTTTCGAACCTAAGAATTTTCGATGTTCAATTCATGAGACAATTCAACCTTTTTCTACCATACCTAAAAATTAAGCAACTCAAGCGAAAATTAATTAGTAATTGAAACATTTTTTCACCTAGGAGTATTTAATTTACGATATTTTATTAATTTGATATTTCATTTATGAGACAAGTTTCCATTCCAAGTACGACTTTTGCCATTTTTACTGCAAGAACTACGCTTCATCCATTCGCTGTACAATTCAAGTGATAAATCGTTTATACACGTATGACAGGGTATTGAATTTGTTGCTGAAAAAGGAGCAGTCAGATGCAAACGAGGCAACGTAACCGATGTGTGATTCATAAAAAGCCTGGATCAGGCAAAAACGTACCGCGTAAGAGGCGAGGTAAAGAGTGCAGAGGAGAATAGCGACGGTCTTCATGTTCTTCAGGATATTAATAATTCACAAATGTTTATTGGGAAAAAGTGTCGAGTGACGACAGTTTCAAGAGGAATCTCGCGACAAGAACGTCTCATTCGACTGGCTAGGCTACGTTTCGATCCGCTATTTATATGCCCGGTAAGTGCAATGGAAGCAGAAGATTGAAAGATTGGAATGGAAGTGGCGAATCATGGGTTTACGTAATTTTGTAATTATTTAATTCAGGTGTTCCTCACAGATATTGATGATCTTGAAATATGTTGTCAACGTCGTCATTTTCAACAATTTTTCCCTATACATGTTTAACGTGGCATTGTTAGTTTCCGAGTCAGTTAGGTTTAGAATAGAAATACATAACTGCACTTCGTATTAAACATTATTCTCAATTGTTACTAATAGAAATTTGAAAAATTTCAGCCATTATGTCGAAAAATGCAACTATTCTTGTACTGCATAGCGAAATTGTATTATTATGTCTGTAATTGTATTATTATGAAGTAAAGGAAGGAATCTGCCCATCCCCCTGTACCCCCTCCCCAAGAATCTAACCCAAACCTAATCCGAGCTACCATAAACATACCTCAATCATTGAAAATACGATATAAAGTGACAAAAATATTTTTGCGAATATCGCGGAAACTACGGTCAAGTAACGTGCATAGGGAAAAGTTGTTCAGAATGATGATATTGACAACATATTTCAAAGTCGTCAAAATCGGCGAGGAGTACCTAAAGTAAATAATTATCCGTAATTTAATTTCTCAGAAATATTGTAAACATTTATCAGTTTATGCGATAAATTATTTACGATTAGATGGGTGTTTGCTCGTTTCATGGATTAGCGGTTCTTTAAGTTTGAAAAGGTGTCCAGGTGATAGAGATTTCAAGGATTAAGGGGGTGTACTTACACCGAGGCTGCTGAAAATAGGCAAAGTTTGGGAATTTTTTTCATAGATATCTACTGAATGAAAAATTTCCATTTTTTCGGAGGTTGTAAATGTAACTACCGGCTATTTGTTCAATTTTTATAAAGTGAAAATCTTACAAAATGGAGAAGTTATTGCGAAACATCAATTGCTTGCCTTCATCGACGGCAAGAATTGGAACGTCTGAAATAAAATATTCTGTTAGATTTGTAAATAGAAATGTATTATCTACAATGTAGCTTACGACTTATTCGATATGTCGATTATTGAATTTTTTAGAAACGTTTAAAGTTGATTTGTTTCGGTAAAAAGAGGTTTTTCCTCTTCAAATTGCCATCATTTCTATAATAACTACAATTTTTGAAAAATCTTGCGCTACACTGTAGGTAACACATTTTTGTTTACATACGAAACGGAATTGTTTATTTCAGACGTTCCTATCCTTGCCAGCCGATGGCGGTTAGCAGAAGATATTTCGCAATTAGCGAATAACTCCTCCATTTTGTAACGTTTGTACCTTTTAAAAATTTGAAAAAAGAAGCTGAAAGTTACATTTATATCCTCTGAAAAGATCGACACTTTTCATTTAGTAGTTAACTGTGAAAAAAATTTCCAAACTTTAGATATTTTTAGACGCCTCAGGGTGGTGCGCCACTTTAAGAATGAATCTTTCCATCACTCTTTGTTTGTTAATTTTTTTAAATAAAATTTCCTTAGAAGTCGAATATTTCGAGTCGGTAGCTTTAATTCTAAGTTCAAAATAGTGTCAGACTTCGAATTTGAAATGTTGGTAGTATATGCAATAACGAAAATGTAATTTCTTTAGCACATTTTTGAACGAATTTTACAAGATAAGGTAGAAGTTTCAACAATTATTATTTTTCGACTCTTTACATCTAGAAAGTATGAAAATATTACAGTATTATTATTTTTATTTAAATATTTCAGAAAAAATTGTAAGCCAGGTGTTAATAAAAATTGATCGAACAATTCGTTTTAATTCTCATAAAATATAGTAGTAGCATACATTGCATTTTCCAGGATTGTTCATAATTCCCCGAATTAATCCGAATTTTTTAATTATTCCTTTCCGTGACAATGTTGAACAATCTCCCGCAAATATAATAGTTCATCATAGGACATGCAGAGTCATGAAGTCTTCATTATATCTGACGACACGTTGAAAAGCAAACGAAGCGGCAGAAGTATTTATAGATATACTGTACGCGATCAGTATAGATCTCTGTTACGGAACGGGCCGTAACGGTTGAGATCTCCTTCGTTTCGTGTTGGTTAAAGGCGTAAAATTCCAGAAATGTGTTTGATGTCGTTTTATTTAATGTTTAGTTCGAACGGGTGTCGTTCTAGGAGTATCGTTTTACACTATCTGTCGACCTTGTGCAGGTACGTCGGTTTTATACTAGTTTTGGCACCTTGCTTCCGACCAATCAATGATCAGGAAAAGGGCCTGGAGTCGAGCGTCACTTCATGGGTTTTTCTCGACTTTGCTCCCTTCCTACACGTGGCGGTTGCTTGGCGATATCTCGTCTATACAGGCATAGAAATGACAAAAAGAAACGAATTAATTGAAAAATTGTCATTAAAATTTACCCTTTCGTTTGAAAGTTGAGAGAAAAAAAGAATTTTTAATATTCGCAGGGAGGTTATATCATAGGTTGAATTGTTATTATTACATTAATTTTAACAAAATGTGATTAATTTCAATATTTATTAAATATGCCATCAATTTTTCACGCCTTAATTTCTCGATTGAATTCATTGATACTGCACAACTTAAATAGATTTATTTTTCACGAATATGTAATTCGATGTTGTTGAATTTGTAAGTTTCGCAGTTTCCGTGGGACGTTCATGGAACACTTGTTATGTCATCGATCTTACGTAAAGAACTGCGTCGATTTTATTCATACGCGACGTCTATTTACATATGTATAAAGAAATTTCTTTGCGCTGAACGATTATCGTAAGAAAAATGCATTATTCGCCGTTGGAGAAGAGAGAAACCATTTCAGTTTACCTATTTAATTTGATACGATCTGCAAAAACTCTTCGAAAATTTTCTATGCGGTTTTCAAGTATATATTTCATAAAAAAAAAAAAGAGACGACAAAACAGGGTACATTTCTTTTTAACCCTTTGACTACCAAATACTTCGAAATTAAATTACCATCACCATAAACGCGATACTCATTTGTAAGGAAAGATAGTCATAGAATTATATATATTCGTAAAAATAAATCCAATATTTCGATTCATTTCTTAGCATCTACCAGTAGTCTACGCGTGTATACATCCATAGCACTCGAAGTGTTAGAAATCGGTCTCTCTGACTTTGTCGCTCATGCACCTTATAAAGTGCATGACAACGTCGCAGCGATCGGTGATATTTTTCACTAAAAAGAAACGAAAAAAGCAAGAGAATAGTGTTAACGTTAAAACGAACGAGCAGGATTCTATTTGTTGAAATAAGCATACAAATATTTCGTACCTTCATTCTCACATTGTTTCACGAACGTTATGTACATGAGCTTTATCTGTGCGTCGACATCTCGACCTCTCGCATTCTGGATCACATTGTTTATAACTTCCAGTTGCAATTTCGAGCCTGACATCTAAAAACGATACACATATGACAGATTTTATTTCTTTGCATTAAATAGTGCTTTGAAAAACTGTAGAATAAATTGTAGATACTAGTATGGACGTTGAGTCTACTAAGAAAATTTCATTCACTTTGAATGGTCAGAACGACTCATTAGCAACTTTTTTAAAAATGTGAATACTCGATACTGGTGAGTATTATCGTTTGTAATTTTCCGACTTTCTTTTCTACGTGTATACTTCTATTTGTGCCGGTTATTATGAAAGTGGTCTAAGTGAAAAATCTAAAGAAATTGAATTTATCATTTCTTTTGTATTGCTTCGATCTTTTATTACATTCTTGCGTACGCAGGATAACCGAAACAACGGCGTGGAACTGTCGAGTGTTTAGTCTATCATGCAGCCCGTGGCTAGCGATAAGGGCTGGGGTACGAAGCGAACGCAGCTCGTTCCCACGGAATCCAGCTACCCCAACACCGAAAATTATAGTTTTTCGGGGTATATAAGGAGCTGATTCTTGACGCTCAGGGGCTTAGTCTTGGCCCTCCTGTTTGTCAGTCGAAAGACTGACTCTACCCGTGGTAAATGGCAACCTGACCGCATCCATACCTCATTCCTAGCTGATAGTATTAATATTTACACTTAGGATAAGTTTCTACTCTGTTTTTACTGTTAAGGGGGTATTCTGGTCTCTTACTCAATCTGACATCCCATGTGAAAATACAGGCAGCTGCTAACAACAGTCATCTCTCCTTAGACAGTTAAAGTGGCCAAGGTCACTAGGATGAATATAGGATAAATATAAAAAAGAAGAAGGAAAATGCTCAGGGGGTTAATCTTGAGACGAGAACGTCACTCTGCCAGTCGGAACGTTGAACGCGAGCAAGATCGGGTTGTTGTCCCTTTCGAGCATTTTACAATTATATTTTCAATACTGTCTAAGACACCCCCGTGGCTCGTCGCGTAAAATCCAGAAGGAATATTCTCGCCAAGCCGAGAATTGACCAATTCAATTGTAGCGAGCCTCCTACGCTCTGCCACGAAAGGGACGGACTAACCACAAGTTCTCACTAGTCCTCATAAAGGCTCCTATTTGTATATATACAACTTCTGACCCGAGTCCTTCCGGTCTATTTATAAATAACCCAAAAATATGCACATACTCACATCAAGTTATCCAGGTCACAAGCGGGTAATAAAGCAGCCAGCTGCCCCGGGCACCGCATAACAACCACATAAGAGAAGAGAAAAAAAAAAGTCCTTCCAGTCCCTCACGCGTCTAAGACACGGGCCTCCTAGAAAGCCTTACTGACGAGTGCTCTAGGAGGCCCAGGACGAAACGCCCCTAACCTTTCCTTTTCTATCTATTCTCTAACAGTTTCCTGAAACCCTTCACAATTATTTAACTTTCATTGTAAATGATCATTGGATCATTGTAACTCGTAGCTTCAATCTTATACTAGAATATATCTCCTTGTTAATGCCATACTCGCACATTTCAACCAAAAAACCTATCCTGGGTGAGTATTAGTAACGATCAAAGAAGACCCACAACGATATGTCTTTACCGTTCGAAATACATATATCAACTATTAGAATACACGAGGTTCACGACCCTTTAGCTTTGTGCCTTCCGGTATTATCCATACACCGGCTCGTCCACGTTCCATAAAGGCTCTCGCGTTACCCGCACGTGGTTCGTCCTCGAAAACTATCCTAGAGGCTCCCGGTTGTTATCCATATACCAGTTCGTCCTCGAAAAGTCACCTACATACACTACTTAAATTCTTTACAGATTTGAAATTGATATCGTGGAGATCAGCAGCACTTTAACTCATTTCGATTGATTCGAATGATAAAAAATTCTTAAAACTGCTAACTTATTTCTCGAAATTTTTATCTAACTTGCACTGCACAGTGATTCCAAACATTTGGCCGGTAGCGTATATGTATAGAGGCTCTACGTCACACCCATACGTGGTTCATCCTCGAAAAGTCTTACCTTCGGCTTCCGGCGTTAGCTATACGCTGGTTCGTCCGAACCATTCCCAACTACTATCCTACTGTAACCAATAAACCAGGCGATTTTAGCCGCGTGGCTCCGATTCCGGGACCTCGCGTCGCATAACAACATAACGAAAGAAATATTTTTTAATACAGTGGGAAAATTCTAAACATCTCGAAACGAAAAATATACGACTTAAGCCATTTTTATAATCACCGGCACATCTCTATCCATATGAATATAATTGTTTAATCACGGTTTAGTTACATGAAAATTCACGAAAAAGTTGCTAATGAATTATTTTGACCTCGGCGGTGTTTCTAAGTAGAGTTGAACTCTAATTCCCCGCTATTCGTTATCCGAGTTATTCGAGAATGTTTTTATTATTTGAAACCGACAGAACTTCCGTATTTAATTCTAGACTCTCGAGAGTTCTTGTGTGTATTTTTGTATAGTCTGTATTGTTAAGTGTTTTTTATGGAATAGTTTACCACACTTCTCAGTAATGATAATTTGACACAACTCGTAACGCTAAGACGTCTGTTATGCAACTTTGATAATTATGAAACGATTTTTGCAACTTGCAGGGGAAATTCGATAATTGGAAATGTAAAAAAAAAATTCTCAAGCTTTGCAGAAAAGTAGTTCAAGAAACGCTAATTACAAAACCATTTTTTGTTTCAACAACGAAACGGGGTCCTAAGGGTGAAAAGTGTAGCGGTGACAAATTTTTTTGAAAATTCAACACTTGTAGGAAATCAAAAATCACACAAATTTGAATTTAACTTTTCCTCCATATTTTCCACGGTTTCGTAAATATTCAGGATAATACGAAAACTTGCCATTTTTTGTATGTCTGTTTTCACCTCTAGGACCGTTTCATTGCCGAAACGAAAAATAGTTTCATTATTAACGTCAATTGAACTATACCTCTGCGAAGTATCAAATTTTTTGGAATTTTCGGGTTACCGAACTTCCCCTGTCAAATAACTCAGACTGCAGACGACTTATGCAACACTTTATCTCCTACTTTTCCTTCGCATTCTTCCTCTCCCACGCGCGTTATTTCGAAATTGTTTCATTAAAACTGGCCAGTGCATCATCGGTAGTGTTCGTGCGTCATCGAGCGCTTCTTAAGGGGCCTTTCGCTTGGAAAAGGTACTTTGAAATTTTGAAAAAAATATTCCTGAAAGGATTTTTTAAAATTTGGAAAATTGACTAGGAGATTTGACTAGTATCCCAGCAAGATTCCAGTATAGATTCTAACTTCGAATGAAAAACTCGAAGCGCAACTTTGACATGTCGCCATTTTCCTATTCTCTGGTATTTTTCAACCAGAGTGGACGATGTCCGACTTTAACTATTACACAATCAGTCTCTCGCGGCGTTTTTGTTTCAGATATGCTAGAGCCGAAAAATCTTACACACTGAAAACCCTTTTTTTCGCGCAAGGATTACTTCAGGTACATGTCATACAGAAGCTGTACTATATTTTACCACCGAAAAAATTAAGCGCACCGTTCAAGATACGAGTAATAATCATTCGAAGTTTCATTTCAATAGTAAATTTTCTTGCAAAAAAATCAGAAAGAACAGCTACTTTTCGCACGTCTAAAAGTGAGAGGCCTCTTAAAATGAATTTTTTATGAAGATGCAACATTTTTACTTTCGAAAATTCTTTTTCACTGTTACGTTTCTTTTCTGTTTCGTCTGGTTGCAATCAATGAAATATACAAAGATCAATTACCGTTCCTTGCGCTTGAGCACAGCAAGCCAGAGTGCAGGAAGCTTTTCTTATACTTATACCTCCGAAAGTATCGACTTTTTCTGCCAGTGAATCTTCGAACAGTCTCATATCCTCTGCAAAGCAAGCGAGGATTCTTTCAATTTTCAACTTTAACGCTAACAGATAATATCAATGTTTTATTGTTGTTTCTTCTCTTACCTATTGTTGCCATTGTCGAGTGGACGCATGAACTAGCAGCGTCTGTGCTGATCGAAAATAAATCCGCTAAACTTCTGATCAGTTTGGGCATTGTATCCTCTGCTTCAGCAGTCGTCTAAAATCAAAGTTTGGAACAATTTAGAGCAGCTGAGAATTATTTCAATTATTCGATCATTTTAAGCGACTGAAGATAGTTCTTAGAAATTTCGAAAATATTCGACTATTTGCAGATTTCTCTTAACCCTTTCGTCACTAAAAGCGACTATATTTGCCGAAATTTCGCATTACTGAAATAATGATAATACAATTAAGTTGGTGCAAATGAGACGTAATTTTTTCAAATCTTCTCCGATCGTAAATTTTTATAGACAGTAGTTAAGAAGAAGAAATTTACTGTATTGAATAATAAAAAAATTGGTAATACAATTGTTCGGATATTATTATTAATTATTATTAATAATCGATATATTCGCGTCATTTTTTTAATACAAGTCTAAGCTTGAAAAAACTATGGTAAAACATTTGCAGAAGGTTATGTAAATGTTAGGACGCGTCAACATTGGTATAGAAAATTGAAGATTGGTGACTTTTTATTGAAAAATTGGCAGAAAATTGGATGATAATGTTTTAAGAAGAATTATCGAAAACAATCCTCGGCAAAGAACATGAAATTTTTCCACGTCCTCACCTATCTAACAGACCATCATTTCTTTAAACACCTGAACAGTTTTTCAACAAATAAATTATTCCTAAATGAAGACACCTAAATGAAAGACAGCATTCAAAGAATTTTTCCATTCCAAGACTACTGTTGTTTATAAATTTGGAACAACGATACTAGTTAATTGTTGGGAAAAATGTATAGAATCCTTCTGAAAATTATTTCGATTAAATACATTATTTTTTAAAGAAACACAATGACGTTTCATATGCACCAACCCCAATAATTTCCAATCATTTTCATAGCAAACCTACTGTTTAATACGCGACAGGTATGCCCGCCGCCCGACCCTTGAATTTCTTAGCATGTAGTTCTATTGTATACAGGGTGCCCGTAACTCCTCGAACACCCTGAAATAGGGGGTTGCTGGGGTGACTCTGAACAACTTTTTCCTTTACCAAAATGTTGTTTGAAGCTTCATTTTTGAATTATTAACGAAAAACACTGGCCAATCGGAGCGCGCGTAGAGCCCGCGCTCAGGGACGAAGAACAGAGGCTCACCCGCGCGCGATCGAACAAATGCGTACGCGTTATAAACGACCTTCGCTATTTTCTTCACGATTCCGACTAATTGCAGTTTTTTCAAAAATTTATGCAAATGTCGGAACGACGGCAAAAACCCATTTCTCTAAGCCTTATAAAAATAGCGGTGCAAAGTCAAATTTTTTTGATGCGGATGAACCTCTGTTCTTCGTCCCTGAGCGCGGGCTCTACGCGCGCTCTGATTGGCCAGTGTTTTTCGTTAATAATTCAAAAATGAAGCTTCAAACAACATTTTGGTAAAGGAAAAAGTTGTTCAGAGTCACCCCAACAACGGGTGTTCGAGGAGTTACGGGACACCCTGTATATTTTTTCGCCTTCGTTCGTTTCGTAGCAGCACCGCGGCAATCGCAGTCTTTCAATCTAAGAACTTGCTTTCATTTTTATTGCCTCGTTTTCGACTTAGAATCTTCGCCTTTTTAACTTGTACATTTTTTGCATTCATATGGTCACCAGAGCCGAAGCGCGTCTTAACGTTATTGTCTGCTGCGGTCATTGTTCGAGGCACTCGGAATTCCCGCGTGCGTCACTCAAAGGTACGCTTGGTACCTGAGAGTGACCTATGGTCTAGGGGGTGGCATTTTCGTGTAGTTTTCCCACCTATGATTTTAACCAATAGTTTTTGCCAACCACCCTTCCCCACCACTATCGAAAAATGTATTCAACCTATCCGAGGGCCTCACCCCCGCGATGCATCCTCGCACGGAGGTGTCGTGGGACCGTTCGCGGAAAGGACAGACACCTACATATTTAATTAACTCCAACAGTATTCGACTATCGGCATTTTTTTCTTAGCGTTTGCATCATTAAAAGTGACTATATTCATTATCGAATTAGCAACGATACTAGTTTCCAGCAATTTCGTTAGCTCAACTAATTTTTCATTTAATCAATTTAACTCTAAATTATATTACAACTTATACGCGCGAATCAAGTCTGCTTTGAATAATTCATTTTTGTCATCAGCCATACGATTACATCACGGATCAATAGATCGATATTTCAAGTTGATAATTGCGCAACACAAATGTCACAGACATGTCGTTTCTTTTATCTTCTTACATTCTGTGCAACGGGTTACTTACATAGGCGACGAAAGCGAACAAAAAGAGCACGAGACACTTGGTGGCTTGGAATTTCACGAGATTCTTCATTGTCACGCGAAATCAAACGATTCGACTTGTTCGATAGATCAACTGGATTTGCTGAAATCGATCGTTCTTTCAGCTTTATTTATATGCCGCAGAATCGAGATTAGGGGTTAAAGATACACGCTCGTGTTACTTTATATTTACGTTTCATTATCGATAAATTGCAATTAGAAAAACAATGATTGGATGCATGATGCGTTCGTTTTGCAAAATAAACTGACGATTAGGTTTTTCTCGTTTGTTCAATTTCTCTCCGTTTCGATCTTGAATTCGAGTGAAAGAGAAAGTAGGTCGTTTGTATTAAAATTTTTTACAAATTTTTCGATTTCTTAAATAAATTTGAAGAGTAACAAAAAAGAGTAACGAAAAAGTTCGCTAAATCGCACTTTACTAATCCAACAAAATGTGATTCGAAAATTACAATTTTTTCGACCTGCGGAACTATACGGATTACAATTTTTTTTAACAATGTATTCGCAACTTTTAGAGAATATACGGAGGATTTCAATGGTGTAGAACATTTTCGGTGAAGCAGGTAGAAAATTCGGCGCCAATCTTACACCTGTCGTCGTGTTCTTTCGCTGGAACAATGAAATTTCAATTGTACATTTAATAATCGACCGAAATATTTCCCGTATTTCAGAGATTAGATAAACGTTATCGTAAAACGTCACTTCTGATTAATCGTTAGATTGTTTGACGACTGGCTTGTTTTATTTATGCGTCTAATATTATCAATAACTATATTATGCGTCTAATTTTATCAATAACCCATGACGTAAATGCGTTTGCAATTTCTGAAACGAAGGTAACGGAGATCGTGAATTCCCAGGAAGTGTTTTCTTTCGCTCTACATTTCGTGCTAATTATATCATTCGCGATGACGGAAATAACATGAAAATAGAGGTTTCCGGATTTTCACATATTTGTCTCCGATTGATGGATCGGTGCAAAATATGTTTGCACAGAAATACTTGAGAATACTATTTTTAGAGGTTTCCAAGAATTTCCCATTTTCATCGAGTTCGATGAAAAATAAATGCTCACATTTTCTGATGCAGTCTGTCAATTTCTCTTTCACTTCGTCGTTCACACGGACATTCATGCGTTCTGCCGTTTGCATCAGTTGATCAAGGTTGATCTCGTTGTTCTTCATCTGAATCAATTACGAAACGGACAAATTTTAACGTGGATTGAGAAAGAAATTTTTTAATCGACAAAACAAAAATTAATAGTGTAGCGAAAAGAATAAAAAAAAAAGAGTTAATAAGCTAGAAGTGTAGGAATTTTGAGTGTTAACAGGTTAAAAATTGTGGGAAGTTAGAAAATTAGAGTAAAAAATTTTGGACGTTGAAAAATTAAAAATTGGCAGAATTCGGAAGATTAAGGACATGAAGTGATACTTACGATTTTAGCTTTTTCAAAAGCGCACGCAATTAAACAGCCGAAATCGTTTAAAAACTCTTTCGGCTCCTGCTTCGATAGTTTTCCATTCTGGAAGACACTTTCCAGTTTTGACGAATCACCTATAGTGTTTCGAAGAATCGTAAAATATTATGGATTAAGGATTATAATTATTGTAGATTATAATCATATGGATTAATTATTCAAATGAATACAACAACGTGAATCCTGACATCTATTCAGAATGGCACACTGCGGGAAATATGTAATAGCTTAAATAATAATTGAGATAATTGCACAAAAATAACAATATATGTTCCTGAAATACATATGACCAAATTTGTATGAAACATTTCAAGCCCCTTGGTTTACAACTATTTAATAATTTTTCATTCTAAAAATCGTATAAAATGGGAATATTAAATTTTTAACATTTTTCTAAATAATTTATAATACAGAAATTGTTAGATATTTTGTTCTATGTAAATACCGTCGTTTAAATTGATCTCATCCAAACATTCTCCAAAGTCTTTCATAGAAATGTTCAACGCCTTCGCCAAGCCTTGCACCGAGGCTGCTCGAGTAACAATCTAAAGCACAGAAAATAATTGATCAATCGTGGTTGGACAATTTGTTACTTAATTTCTTTTTTTTTAATTAAATAAGATTATTACTTTAAATAAGACGGAAATTGATGGAACATTATAATTCAGTCGATCGAAGTGTTCTTAAAGATTGAACGAATGAAACGAAGTAACATTTTTTCGGTCTTTAAAAGATTACTCAGAAATTTAAATTAAAAATTCTTTCCTTTGTTGGTGAAGATAGACTAACATTTTCCAAAGATGAAATATAAGCAATTCAAAGGACGAAATAGCCACAATTTCCCCAAAGGTACCAATTTATTACACTACAATTCACAAGTGAAGTCTGGACGTAAAACAAAAAAACTGTAACTGTAATAAAAATTTGAAGAAAACAATTTTT